CCCCCCCAAAAAAAAAAAAAAAAAAAAAATCCTAATCCAATAGTCTTCGATCTAATTTTTCAAAGCTCATCTTTAGAATCAATTTTAAAACGTGTATCTCTTCTTTATTTTATATTCCTACTTGTTGGGGTCAACTGTTATACCGGTAACCTGTTTATCCAAGCTTTTTTTGCCCAAAAATATTTTTTTTTTCAAAATTACTTTTTTTCAAAGTTAAGATATTTTGCGAAATTTTTAGCAGGGGAAAAAGTATTTGTGAGTAAAAAAGAGCTTCTCTTTGGCTTCTCTCAGCGCACGATAAAGTGACATTACTATCTTGCGCAGTCGCCAGAAATGCCTGGAGGAAGACCTGCTAAGGTTGCGAACAAGGCTATAGTGGTGGAACAAGGCTAAGTTTGGGTTCAAACAGGCAACCACACCTCCGCAATTAATCGAAGGAAACTCAATTCAAAAACAGAAGCATGGTTCAAGTAAAGCCAATCCGACGGAGATTAGAGGGGAAAGTCAAGCGATAGTTCACCATCCATGTTTTAATTCAACTAATACAGCTAGTGGTAGTGGGGAAGTGGCCATGCCTGCTGGAGTAAAGGAGCTTAACTTTACGGCTGATACCAATAAGGATCAATTGAACAAAAGTACTGAGAATGAAGCTCAAAGTAAAGAAAAAGCAATCCATGTAGAGGGGCGGGTAAATCATGGGCTGGGCTATTTGCTGGAAGTAAACTTGTAGCTAGGGGAATGAATCTTAGCTATGTGGAACCGGTGATCATTGATGGGGAGCGTGTCGCACAATTACAAAAAAAGAAAATCGAACAAGAGACTCTGAAGTGGGAGAAGGCAGCCATTCTCTACGTGGTAGGCGATTCTCCAACTATATGTGTTTTGGAGAGGTTTATTGCTGCAACTTGGAATTTCACTTCTAAGCCAAAAATTTACTATCATAATGAAGGCTATTTTGTGGTGCTATTTAATAATTTAGAGGATCGTGATGCTATTATATTTTCTGGCACATATACCATAAATAACAGACCTATCATCGTACGAGCATGGAGTCCAGAGTTTAACTTCAGTGAAGAAGTGTTAAGGACTATTTCTCTTTGGATTAGATTGCCAAATTTACCTTTGAATTATTGGGATACTGTTACATTGAGTCATATAGGAAGCGTGTTAGGATGCCCTATCTATGTAGACGAGTGTACTTCTGGTATCGACAAAATATCATATGCCAGGATATTGGTGGAAATGGATGTCACTCGCGAACTTCCAGTTAGCATAAAAGTACAGGACCTAGAGGGAAAGTTCTTTGAACAAGCAGTGGAATATGATTGGAAACTAATATATTGTCCAGAGTGTTTACAGATAGGACATACATGTCGGATTGGGCCTGAGGCAAAACACAAGACTAATGGTAACAAAGGGAAGCAAACTAAGCCGAAAATGATTAAAGCAATCTGGCAGAAAACTCAAAAGCAGGATAGTGTGTCAATGGAACAAATTCAACCCAAGGAGAAGGTGAAGGAAAAGGATGGGAAACAAAGTGTTGTTGTTGATTCCACTGCAGCCATCACTAATACTAATAATAATATAGAGAAGATAGGTAAAGAGGATGATTGGCAGAAGGTGAGAGGGAATGCAATAGCAAGGACTTCAATACCTTGCAAGATGGATATTGTTGGGGTGACAAATGTTTTTAGTCCTTTGATGGGAGAAGCTAATAAGGAAATGCATAATTCTATTGGGGCTATAGATATAGCACAAAGTAGTAGAGGAGGAACTAGGAATTCTCAACTTAAAATTTTATCAAGATGAAGCTAGTAACTTGGAACATAAGAGGGCTCAACAAGATCTATAAGCAAAAAGAGTTAAATAAGTTCCTAAACGAAAATAAGGTAGGCATAGTGGCTATTGTTGAACACAGAGTTAAGCATCAAGTAGCTGTTAAGTTTGTTAATAAGGTGGCTGTTGAATGGAACTGGAGTTTTAACTATCAACATACAGGAAAAGGAAGGATTTGGGTATTATGGAATCCAACTTATTTTGATTTTACTATATTAAGAACTCACGAACAATTTATGCATGGGCTCGTGAAGGTGTATTCCTTGCAAATGGAGTTCTATTTCACTGATGTGTATGGATTGCACACCATTCAAGATATGAAAGTATTATGGGAAGAGTTGAATTGTATAACTCAAACAATGAGTGATCCTTGGTTACTTATGGGAGATTTTAATGTTGTCTTATCTGTGGAGGATAGAGTAAATGGTACACCAATTCAGGAAGCTAAAAGTAGAGATTTTAAGAACTTCTTACAAGTTACAGGCGTAATGGAAATGAAAGTTGAAGGGAGGACATTTGCCTGGACTAACAACCATGTGTACATAAGATTTGATAGGGAATTGATTAACCCTGCTTGGGTACAAAAATGGACTCATTTGGAAGCTTTAGTTCTAGATTTGTTGTTCTCTGATCATTCTCCTCTAAGTGTTACACTGGAGGATAGGAAAGAACAGGTTGCCAGGCCATTTAAGTTCTATAATTACTTGGTAGATCATCCAGAATTTATGGCAATAGTGGAGACAACATGGTCCAGACCTAACAACTCAATTCCAATGGTTAAGGTGTGGAAGAAATTGCAGAAGCTGAAAGTTGAATCGAAAATATTAAACAAAAAGGAATTTGCTGGAATATCAGATAGAGTTAAGAAGACAAAAGAAAAATTACAAGTTATGTTTGAAGAGGAAAATTATGTTTGAAGAGGAAAAAGTTTTAAAGCTGGAACTGGAAAAGTGAAGTCTAATTGAGGAGAATATGGCGAGACAGAAGGCTAGAGTCCAATGGTTGAAGTTAGGAGATTCTAACACTTCTTATTTTCATGCTTGTCTAAAGAACATGATTGCACAAAATCAAATCAGGAATCTAGTCGTACCCGATGGAGATATATTGCAGAATAAGGACTCAATTGAAGCTAAGATTATAGAGTTCTATAAACAACTCTTGGGATCATATGTAAGGCAACTTCCTTGTGTCAGACATGAAGTCATGCAGATGGGTAATGTACTAAGTAGACAACAACAACTGAAGCTAATTAAGCCAGTTACAAGAAGTGAGATAGAAGCAGTATTGAATGAGACTGATGATCAGAAGGCACCAAGGATTGATGGCTATAATACTTTATTTTTTAAAAAGACTTGGAATGTAATAGGAGATGATATTACTGAAGCTGTGATGGGGTTCTTTCAGAGCACTGATATGTTTCAGTCTGTGAACTATACTTATGTGACTTTAATACCCAAGGTACAATATTAAGTTTCAATTAAAGAATACAAACCAATATCATATTGTACTGTCTTATATAAAATCATCTCAAAGATTATTACTAGTAGGATGAGTGAGGTCATTGATATCCTTATAGATGGCAGTCAAGTTGCGTTTGTTCCTGGAAGGATTATATCAGATAACATAATACTTAGTCATGAACTTGTTAAGGGATACAATAGAAAGGGAATATCACTAAGATGCATGCTAAAGGTGGATCTGCAAAAAAGCATATGACTCTGTAGAATGGGTCTACTTGGAGCAGATTCTAACGAGTTTACAGTTTCCTGAAATTTTTGTAAAATGGATTATGTGTTGTATTAAATCAGTATCCTACTCTATAATGATAAATGGTGTGCCTGCCCCCTATTTTTCTGCTAAGAAAGGCCTAAGGCAAGGCGACCCAATATCACCTTATCTATTTGTATTGGCAATAGAGTACGACTACTGAAAACACTGCAGCATGAGCCTGGATTCAGGTATCATCCTAAGTGTGCCAAAATGAAGAATGTGCAGCTGAGTTTTGTAGATGACTTGCTTTTGTTTAGCAGAGGAGATGTTCAATCAGTGCAGCTATTAGTTGATTATTTTACACTGTTCTCACAAGCTTCTGGATTAAATGCAAATCTCCTTAAGAGCTCAATCTACTTTGGAGGCGTGAGTAACAATGTGCAGAAGCAAATACTGGATCTATTAGGGATCAATAAAGGAGAACTACCAATTAGGTATCTTGGGGTACCACTAAACTCTAAAAGATTATCTGTCATACAATGCCAACCATTGATAGATAAAATGATTGGCAAGATAACTTCTTGGACTTTAAGATTACTTTCCTATGCTAGTAGAGTACAATTAATAAAGTCTGTTCTTTTCTCAATTCAGTTATACTGGTCTCAGTTGTTTCTATTACCAAAGAAGATTATTGTGTTGATTGAGAGGATTTGCAGAACCTTTCTATGGACAGGAAACGTGGAGGTTTCCAAAAAAGCATTACTAGCTTGGGATAAACTATGTCTATCAAAGACTGCAGGAGGACTAAATCTTCTGAACATTCACCTATGGAACAAAGCGGCTATGTGTAAGCTATTGTGGAATTTGAGTAAGAAGAAATATATCTTATAGGTGAAGTAGATTCATATATACTATGGGAGAGAAGACTCGATGTGGGATAAATTTCCAAAGCAAGCTTGTTGGATGATACAAAAGGTTTTTAAAGCTAAGCAATATATTGAGGAGGCTGGTATGACCAAATAAGATTTGATGAATCTAAGCTCATTTTCAATCAAACAGATGTATCTAAAGATGCTTGGAGAGTATACAAAGGTTAGTTGGAGAAGATTAATATGCAACAACCCAGGATCTCCTAAATGGTTATTTTCATAATGACTATGTTGGCTCATGGAAGGTTATATACAAAGGATCGGCTAGCTCACTGGGAAATGGTGGTGGATCAGACACGTCCTTTGTGTCAGGAAACATTGGAAAGTATTGAACATCTATTCTTCAGATGTGTTGTATCTACTTTTATTTGGAGGAAGCTATTGGAATGGTAAGGTATATCAAGGAATGTTATGGAGTGGACTGAAGAAATACAATGGCTTGAAAGTAATCACAGAGGGAAGAGTGCAACAACCACCATATACCAAATAACTTTGGCAACAACTGTGTATTACATCTGGCAAGAAAGGAATTTGGTGGTGTTTCAGAGCAAAAAAAGACAACCTACAAAAATTATCAAGATGATCATTCAGGAGGTCTTTGTGAGAACTAGTATGTGCAGGAAGCTGAACAGCAGAATAAATAATATGAACTTTTCTCCTGTCTTATAAGGATTTTAGGCTATTTGACATGGTGAACTGAGTAGAGTTGGAGAGTAAACCTGGGCTAGTCCAGTTTGCTGCTTTCTTTTTTTTCTTCTGGAGTTGTATTCTCTTAGTTGGTAATAAAATTGCTTAGTTACCAAAAAAAAGTATTTGTGAGTAAAAGCGAAAGCTGTTAGAAAAGTAGAAAAAGTAACTTTTTACCAAAAGTACTTTTGAAAAAAATACACTTAAAAGGATTTTTTACAAGTTTGGCCAAATACTAATTGTTATTCAAAAGTGCTTTAATTAATTAGTCAATCACAAACTAATTCTCATCAAAAGTACTTTCAAAAAAATATTTTTCAAAATAAGCTGATTTTAGAAGCTCGACCAAACACGCTATAAATAATATTCTGCATATGAAAAGGTTTAGTTCGGATAATATATTTATTTTTAAGTAAGGATTATTTTCAAAAATTTCATAAACTAAGAAAATAAAAGGAAAGGAACAGAAAAAGTCATACATGTTTTGCATTTCTTTCACTTTTGTTAAAAAACCTAGTTGATGATTTGGGATAACAAAGAGTAAACTGTTTAGTAAAGCTATAAGTAAGGAGTTGAACATATGATTTTAAGAGATTTCATCAACCAAGAATTGAAATAGAATAAGCAAGATAAGAAGAACTTAAAAGAGGAGATGGAAATCATGGTCTAAGAATACCATTACACTATCTGTATTAATAACCTAAGGACGTCTTTATGTGTGTTCACCCTAAAACTTGATTGAAATGCTAAACCAGTTAAATTTTTAAAGTTAGATATCAAACAATTAATTTAATGCGATTAAATTGGTCCTTGTTAATTTGAAACAAGAAAAAGGTAATGATAACTAGAGACGGATCCAGCATTCAAAGTTTATGGGTTCCTATCTTCACCTCAAATTAATATATTTTAATAACCCAACTAAGGAACGAATACCGACCGTCAACATATATTTTTAAAAGAGTAGCGAACCACTTAAATACGACATAAGTACTGTTACGCGGCGCCTTCCTGAAGTTCCTTGGAAGGGCGACGTAAGGCTAGGCAACC